GGGGGGGGGGAATGAGAAAGGTTATGGCGTTATATACGCACCACCACCTGCTCAGCTGGTATACGTTGATGATTTTGCCCACAGTGGCGAAGATAATATGATGGGATGCCCTCAGATGCTTAATGATGTGACGAACACATGTACCTATGCACGATATGACATTCATACGCATATGCATGACACTATAAGTATTTCATAATTTACATAACTATCCAGACTTACAGGTTGAGTCCTTTACTCCATATTTCTTCCATGGTTTTTATATGTTTATTTACATGCCTTAACTACTCAGTACATTTGTCGTACTACGTCCTTTTGTTGGGGACGCTGCATTCATGCCTGCAGGTATAGATAGTCAGTTTGACGAGCCCTTATAGTAGACGAGGTCAGCATTCAGCGAAGGATCGGTAAGACTCCATCTCATTCGGAGTGCAGCCGAGTCTATGAGTCATCGTGTCAGAGTTTTGCTACAGACTTATGGGTAGGCCAGTACCCTTTTTCATTTGATGTCGAATAATCTTAGAGGCTTTGTAGACAGAGGGTTCAGTTTGTACTGTATGTCAGAGGCCTTGACGGCCCATATGTATTCATGTTTTCAGAAAGATAGTTTATTGATACAGAGTTGTGGCCCACCTATAGTCGTACATTACGAGTTGTGGCCATGTTGGCCCATGATAGTTGCACAAGAAAAAAAATGTTGCAGTGGTTCGCTCGGGCCAGTGCGGCACCGGATGCCAGCCACGCCTCCCCAGGTTTGGGGCGTGACATCGAGAGCGGCATAACTTGTGATATTGTTGCTTTATATTTTGTTGGTTGAAATCTTTAATTCTTCTTAGTAATCGAAAGAGGCTAGTTGAATTATTGATTGAACCTAGTTAGGAGAATAATCGAGAGAGGTTCTCTTAAAGACCAATCCACTACGAATTCTTAGATATCTTCACATGATTAAAATTGATTTATCTTGTGAGGTGGAGACTTAATCGAGAGAGGAGTTTCTACTAAACAATTGAATTGTCACTATCCGGATTTCCCACCCTCGGGAGTCGTGATGGTGCCTACTAGTGAAAGCTAGGAAAGCCAACCAATTGAATCACTTACCTTTTTTTCATTTTAGTCCGATAACAATTAAGAACCAACATTTAATAAACAATAGAATTTAATAAGCGGAAGACAAAAAAATAATATTTTAATAATGCCACCAATACCAATCCATAACAAAACTACCTAGAACTGGTGTTACAATTTCACAGACTGTCTAGGAATACTACAAATAAAGGTCTGAAAGATTTAAAACAATACTGTCTCTGGAATACATGAAAGAAACAGAATAAAAGATAGAAGGTGACGCCAAGGCCTGCGGACGCCTGCAGGACTACCTCGGGTCACCTGGTGAACTAGAAGCAGCGACCTCACTGCGGTCTGAAAGCTACAACATCGGGATCTGCACAAAAGAGTGCAGAGTGTAGTATCAGCACAACCGACCCCATGTGTTGGTAAGTGCCTAGCCTAGCCTCGGCGAAGTAGTAACGAGGCTAGTACCAGACTACCAAATAAACCTGTGCAATTAAATCATATACAATGGAAGAATAAAGGCAGGAATTTACAGTTTAAAAGTAAAAAGGGGAGAGAAACATGCTGCGGGCATATCAAGTAACAACAGGAAACAAATAAATATCCGTAAAGAACACCATAACTCAAATATCAACAATAATCAGGGAATCAAGACAAGTGCACAGCATCACCCTTCGTGCTTTTACTCTCGTCCTCACCAAATATCAATATAATCGGCACGTCATCACCCTTCGTGCTTTTACCTCACAAAATGATGGCACAGAATGATCCTTCGTGCATTATCACTCATATAAAGGCAAGGAATGGTACATCGTGCAGCACGACATCACCCTTCGTGCATTAACACTCGCTCACAAAATATCATGCACGGCATCACCCTTCGTGCTTTAACACTCTCTCACCAAAACAATGCACGACATCACCCTTCGTGCTTTAACACTCTTCCTCACCCAAACAATAATCACAAACAATAAGGGCAAGGAATTAAATATAATCATAACAAAATCACAATGAAAATCCCGTCAAGGGAACAATATCAAAAGCAACAACATCCCGGCAAGGGAACAATATCAAAAGCAACAACATCCCGGAAAGGGAGACAATATCATAATCCTCTTCTCTTTTTCACATTTACTTCACAACTCAATTTACACTTGAGCCAACGCTTTACAATGCTCAATTACCAATGATACTTTCACAATTCGATTCACAACTTGAGCCAATGCTCTACAATGTTCAAATACCAATAATACTTTCACAAATCAATTCACAACTTGAGCCAATGCTCCTAAAAGTTCAATTACCAAATTTACTTCCACAAGCCTTGTTCAACAATAGGAACATCACATAAGGCATGAACAATACAAAACAATGTCACATTAATCATAGTATAAGACTCACGGGCATGCTTGACACCAACGAATAGACACTCGTCACTATCACTACCCGGATTTCCCACCCTCGGGAGTTGTGACAAGTTGGTATCAGAGCTCTAGGTTAC